CATACGTATTAATTATTAACTTATACTAGACATCTAGTGTGCCTACAAATTTTTTTAAAATATAATTACCATGCATGATGCCACAAGCACCGCGAAACGGGTGCAAGGGGGAGCACTTGCACCCCCCTAGCTTTTCAAAAAAGAAAACATTTAAAAATTAAATTAAATTAAAAAAATTGAATGGTATTGAAACTGTTTTATTTTGCATAATCTACATTTTTATCTACATCAATTGAATTTCCGATTTTTTAATCGTAGCCACTAGTCCGCGTTAAATTGTATAGCCGTTGAAAAAAAAAACTTAAGTAACTTTATATCGTTATAGAATTTGAAAAAATATTTTTCCGTATTTAACTATTATAATTATTACTATTATTATTACTATTATTATTATTATATATACGAGCATTATTTAGAAATCAGCATACACTTATATACATGCATAATGCACCCCCCTGATAAAATTCGTGACAACGCCTATGCGTGGTACATAGGTAAAAATGTATGAATGTTCATCATACAATTATTTATATAATATGTACTTTTATTTAAATGAAATCCTTAAGTCAGGCTCAGAATCCAGTAAATTGTATAACTTTGTAGGGTGCTTCTTTTTTTAACTAATAAATATCAGTAGTCTATATTACGTCTAATACAATATGTGTTATGAAAATAAAATATTTCTGATAAACCTAATATTATAATACTATTGATTTTGATACATCGTTATCTTTCCGAGTAAAATCAGTGTACTAAGTACAAGTGGATTGTAACAGAAAACATTCTTTAATATTATTTTACTATACACAAACAATGATAATAATACTACATAGATGCTATTAAGAGACGATCATAACTGATGAGTATGATATAAATATAAATTAAGTTATAAATATAGATATTATGTGGCATTTATTAGGGCTCACGTTTGTATTTCATAATGAGGCTTTTATTTTAATTTAATAGAAAATTGAGCATAATTTGGAAGTATTATTAGTGATCACTGATTAGGGTGGCTTAACGTTATACCTTACCATTATCATTATCATCTATAACAGTCTATGCTATACCCAACAATGGTAATAATAATATTATCTTCAGTTATAGGCGCCTACAGATATAAATCCATACGCCTATATATAGGTCCAAAATCTATTTAATATAAATCTTTAATGGTTTATTTAATTTGAATAGAATTAGTATAGTCATAAGCTGAAACTATTTTTTTTTTTAAATAATTACATTTTTACATTTTGAATAAATAATTCAACACTTCAAACATATATTTAAGATTGTACTTTGGGCCATTTACAAAATCAAAAATTCAAATTTAATTACAAAGTTATAAAACGATTATATAATTGAAAGTAAAATGGGTATTGCATCATCGACTATACGCAGTTCGTACAAGAACAATTTTGGCATGTTCATAAATAGTTTTAATTTCGTTAATATTCGCTCGTTATAATCACACAGATTTCTCATTATTTCATCACTGCACTTGTGTCAGCTACTGATCTAACTCGTTAATTAATTCTTCCGACGCGCCGACGCCGTGGTGACCAGCTGCGGCGGTTGAAAAACGAGCGTTGGGATATCAATTTCAGCCCAGAATCGTGACCGTGGGTTTGTATAGGCTGGTGGTGTGGTGTATATGTCATTATACGGGAATTCACCACAAAACAACGGGTTAATTTGGGTTCGTATGGAAATGAAAGCAAAAAGGATCGATACATGGAAGGACCTTTACCAGAGATGGAGGGTAGGCGCCGTATGTCAATGAAAAAAAGTCACTTTTAGGCACTAACCATACCCTTATATTTAATTAAAATACTCAGCACATTTTTTGTTTATATTCTAGGCATGTCGAGCTGATGTAATGAGAATTTTATATATCTTAAATACAGTTTATTTTTGTTCAAATCGCAATTTTAGATTCTGCATGGAAACTAAGATTAGATTTTCAAAATTATTTGTTTTTTGTCTCAGAAGTTTAATTCTTGAAACCTTAAGAATGTACAACTATCTTGATCATAATACATTAATTATAGATTGAGTTATCATACAAATAAATCGTAAATGATTGCCTTTTACAAATTTACAATTGAAAATGTGACAAAATAAATATGAAAATCATCGAAATAATTAATTTGACAATAATGGTTAAATGGAAAAAGTAATATCAAATTGCCACGAAGTATTTTAATTAACTGACTATTTACAGTAAAACGTGTGTATTAAAATATATTAATTTAAAAATGGAAATGGTTTGTTTTTGTTTTATTCGAATTAAAATTAGTATTGAATCCAAAATTAGAATCAATCCAATATTTACCTACCTACTTATATCATTATTTCAACCTGTGATCCTGGATAGAATTTAGTTTTATACTTGCTTGATAGTTATTTTAAAATCAGAATAACTCCCGAGTTTTCAATTCTAGATTCTAGGAGAAGCGAGGATTGTATTGATTTAACAATTATGTAGCTTTCCTTTTTTTCTATGGATGCTTTTCCAAGCAATAAAAACTGAGCAAAAGTTCCGTGTATATCTGTTACCTATCTATCTATATATTTAAAATCGAGTCAATAGTTGGTCCTTAAGAGGGTTATTTTTTATTTTGTCAGTAAATTCTCTGAAATACTATTTTAAAATTCATCCTTCAATCTCAATTTTTTTGTAGGTTTTCCTTACAATAAAGGAGAAAACTAAATAACTATTTGAGTATCAAAAAATATACCTTAAAAGTTTTTAAAAAAATACAATAGTTCCAATCTGTAGAAATTAATCACGAAATTAATATCAGAAGAAACCAACAAAATGTAAAAAAATATTTATGATGTGAAACCAATATATTCCTTATTCGCTCAAAATTTAAAATATATTTAAACTCGACAGTGTGAAAAAATTCAAAAATATTTTAATATAGATTCAAAGTATTGTAATCGGTATTATTAAGTATGTATATTATTTTTTTTTGGTTTTCAGGCTCTTATCTATAATTTTATAAAACACACAAAAAAATTAATAATCGCATAAATATTATTAATATTTTATACATTTTGTTTTTTTTATTAAGAAGGAAAGCCTCGATAACGTGACCATTGGCTTGTTTTTACATATAATTATAACTTAAATTATATTGTACAGTTCAGTATCTTTCAAAAATAAAATTATAGTTTGGATGGATTTTTCGTCAGGGCCCAGTGCGTCGTGAAGGTGTTCCGGTATGTTGAATTTTTGTCGTGCCTCTTTTGTGCCTCTGCATTCGGTGATAATATGTTTGATAGTAGTTGTAATTCCGCATGTAAGGCATATTTTTGGTGGCTCTTTTTTCGTGAGGTGGCCATGTGTGTGATGCGTATGGCCTATTCTGAGGCGATTTAGTACGGCTTCCTCTCTTCTTTTGAGCGACATAGGGTTATTCCATTTTTTTTTTATACATTTTATAATTATCTACAAAATTTTATTTTTTCATAACATTTTAGTTATAGAGGTCTATGAACCGTTAAAATAACTATCATTTTTAATCATAGATACTATTGTTATTTTTCAGTTTAATTCTGTATTTTAAATGACTCTTTGCAGAAAAATCATTAGAGTCCATTCAATTTTTTAATCAATATAATATCACAAGTTCAAACTAAAAAAATAAAATAATATACATTTTTTTATTTATTTGAACATGATATAGTATTTTATTACAAAGAATAATTGATTGATGTCATTATTTACGTTTCCACATTAATATTTAATTTAAAATCAATTTTAAAAAGGGGGAAGTTTAGATGACCGGCTCTGCTATACAGTAGGTGTCGAGTGTACCACGTCGTTGAGTAAGTCACTGTAATGTATGTGTTAAATTTAAATTTAATATTTTAATGATAAATCATTTCATACAAAAAAACGATCCGGTCTGTCAGCTGATATATTACTATCTATATTTTATGATATATTTTTATTGCTATCAAAGTAATTAATTTTACTATTAGTAACATTAAAACAATTTTAGACGAAAATATTGTTTGAATTATTTTTATAATACTATATATTTATATTATATATTATAAAGTTATTAACTTTTAAGTTAGTACCTACTTACCGTAGAACGGAGTGAATAGGTTCGTGGTAAATAGCATAGGCAATATCATATGATGTACCTAGCATCTAAATGATTTGTCAAGTAATTTTATATATAAAATATAGTAATAAACGTAAACGTTCCAAATCCACACGAAGCGACGAAACACAATTTTGAATTACAAAAAAATAACTAAAAGCGTTGTTTTTCGTTTAAATATTATCTAATTTTGTCCAAATTTGAACAAAATGTCTATAAAAAAAATTGTGTTCATATATTTTTTAGATTTTTTGGTTCCAGTATTATTTACTTATAAGGAACCTTGTATTAGGTTTTCAAGATTTGGCTATACAAATTGAACATTTATCACATTTTTAGGGGAAAAAAAACTAGGAATTTTCTATTCTTACTCTTTAAATATTTTAACTAGGTGTGTATAAGTACACTGCAAACATTTTTCAAAAAAAAAAAACACACACATCATTGTAAAATCAATACACTCATCGTTCCGCATACAAATACATATATAGAGCCAGCAATGTAATAGGTATACCTATGTTTGTATGGTTGTTGAAATAGGAATTAAAAGTTTAGATGAGAGAATAGTGGACGCAGTAGAGGACAAACATATTTCAGGATGTCCCTTCGTGCCAACCACTCCGCTGTAGGATTAAAACTTTAAAATATATAATAAACATAAAACCTTAAAATATATAATAAACATAACCAATCAACTATAGGTACTATTCTATTTTTATCGCCCTGCAGTATTATTAGAGGTATAGTCGAATATTGGACACGAAACTCATCGCGTATAGCCAATAGCCATCGTATAGTAATCATACGACAATAATATTATTATCGTTGCACTGATGTTCTAACACAATACTGTATACAACGCCGCATTCGTGTTTACAGGGCAATTCAATCGTGCGTCTCAACGGATATTCATCACGCCGGCGGCAGCGGCACCGGATACTGGCAGTACCAAAGGGAAGACTAATCATGCGACAACACAGGTAATAAACAATAATATTGCAGTTGGACGACGGTTTAAATCGGTCGTGGCCGTGCCATTCTCCCGTCTGACCGATTTGAGTGGATTAGTTTTGAGCGCGTGGGCACACTATTATTGTATAATATAATATAATATATATATATATATACTGCACCTCCTTTCGCACTCGTCCATCGATCCTTATCCTGCACCCATCATTCCGGTAATGCGTCCGCAGCTCTTCTCCGCCAACGCGTCCGTGTGTCATCGCGATAAAATTTGCCGAAGGGAGTGGAAAAAAAAAAGAACAGGGTGAAAATAACGAAAAAACTTTTTTCGCGCCTAGGAGGAAAACGACTACCTGAAAAACTGTTTTGTGCTTTTATCGTCCGATCGGAATAAACGTTAACGCCGTTTTGAATTCATCTGCTTGGGTACATAATATACGGCTGTGTTTATTATATTATAAATTGTACAGGCAACTTTTACACGAGTTTGAGTTCATATTTTAATAAATATATTATATACATAGAGGGTATATAATATAAACGTTTTGTTCCGAAGAAAAAAACAGATTAGGTACAACAAAGCTGTTTGTTCCGATCTCTTGTCTATCTTTAGAAAATAAAATTACTTTTATTAGCCTTTTATTCGGTTATTTGATACCCATGAACATGCAACAATACACGTTAATAATACCCCTGACGAGAAAAAAAAATGATGATTCACGTCCCACATAAATGTCCAATGATAATTATTAATAAAACACTCCTATAATTAAACGAATTGTTTTATTTTCTTACACAATATCTCTAAGCGAAGTACACATTTAAACTTGACACTTATTAAAGTTTACCTACTAATTTAGTCTTCTAGAAAAATATTAAATTTAAATTTACTTAAAAAAGGTTTGATGTATAGGCAGGCTAAAATACCGTGTTGTTTAATGTTGGATGCTAAACTTATAATTAGGCATACAAAATCTAAAAGTATTGCCCCTATTTAAACAAATGTGTAAAAATAAGTTTGCCAAAATTAAGTTCATACTACACAGTACCTATACACTACATGCTACACAAATAGGTATATATATACCCATATAGATATTATAAGCATATATTATATTTGTGCAGTATTGAAATTAAACCGTTACTATTATAATTGTAAAATTTAAACTGATAAATACTACAACCATGCAAATATTAATATTTATCATTTTCTGGATAAAAACTGGATAATAATTAGATGGGAACTTGTAATTTTTACTTAGAATCGAAAGAAACATTCAAAAGATTGTTCTAAAATTAAATTTAAGAAAAGATTAGGAAATAGGTAAAGCCAATTGACGCCTCCAGGTTTCAAGTTGGTTCCCATTCACCGAATTTTCTCTCGGATAGAATACAGCGGCCATATTTTAGCCAATAGGTAAATTAAGAATTGGCTCCAATGAACTTCCATTATAATAATAAATGTATGTTAATATTAACTCTTACAACTACAGTTTTAACCAACACCAGTTTCCTTCCACAGTTTCTTGTTTCTTTCCACATTTTACACGCACTGTGTTTAGAATAATAGATATTCTCTAAAATACTAAAAATAAAATATAGGTAAGTATAAAATATTTTGACCTGATATCAAAAAAGTCAAAATGCATTGAAATAAAAAATAATAATAATAAAATTAATGTGGTAGGTTTTTACAACATAAATTATTATTTATAAACTATAAGCTCAAATTTGGCAGTCGTTCAATGTTTTATTTGTGTACCATTTCACTGACAATACCTTTTCAGCTGTTTATCTTGACTTGAATCGTGTGCTTCTTTGTCTTAAATATATTTTGCGATGAATATATTTTCTAATTTATAAAAAAAAATATTTGAGCAGGAGGAATACAGTTCTGAATTAAGTGTTCCGTCAAACAAAACGCAACAATTGTTTGTTCAAAGAGATTAAAATTCTGTCCACATTTTTGGTGGACCTTTTGGTGGATTCGTACACATTGTTTTCACCCGAAAACCGATTCCGTGTTTCTCAAGTGGGTAGTACCTATATGAAAAGGTATATGAAATTAAGAATGTTAAGTGAGAGAAAGATAAGAACACGATGATGGTAATGCATTTTTAGTTTTTACAAGTAATTCAACGAGTCGGGGGGTGGGGTGGTTTTCTAGTCTTTCGTTAATTTATCGATCACTGCAACTTCTATTTAGTACCCTTATTGCTTGTTGAAATACAAGCCGTTTATTCTACTACTATTTATTGTATGAATATAATATACTCGTACATGTATGCTCCTGTACTAGTATATAATGTATGATAATGCGTGTATACATTTTTATGTTTCCTCGTACGATGACCACATGTGATTGTTCATATACATTAGCAAAAGGTGGATTCAATGGCTGATATTTATTACAATACGTATTGACATGATTTTCGTCCGCAGAATAATTAATGTGATATTAAAATGGTTAATAAGGCCCACAGATCATTTTGCTGTGTTCAGAATGTTCAGATAACCCTGGAATACGGCAGTATCGTTAAAACCTATCGCATTGATGTAATATGTATATTGTATATGATACACATGAGTAAGCAATTAGTAAACAAGTAAACAATCTCCCACTAAAGAAACTTTTTGCAACAAACTATAATCCTTTTTTGATTCTGAACGGTTTTTTGTGTCTGAATCACAATATTGGTATTGTAGAAAAATGCTTCGATTTGATCGACTTTGAGGGTGATTTCTGATACCAAATTGCATCTAGTTGGTACTTTTGAATGATTACAAATTAAGCATTATAAAATATTCTTATTTAAAGGATGTCTATTCAATTTTAAAAAAAAAACATTTTCAAATATATTATATAATTAAAATATAATTTTTTAATTTTTGTTTATTTACTGATTTTAGATGAATACCAGAATTAATAGTTATTTCGTTAAAATTGTTTACATAAATATTATACTATATACAAATCATTGTGCTACGTGTTATCAAAAATATTCATATATAACAATCAAAAAACTGCTATAACATTGAAAAAGACAATTTTAATTAATAAAAAGTTTGTCAATAATTAATACTAACCTAACCTAGAATTAAATGTTTTTCATCGACGTGATATTTTGATAATAATGTCATAGTTCAAAAGAAAAGAAAAATTATGAAGTGCCAATTTCCTATTAGAGAATACACTTAAGTGTAAATGAAAGCTGTTCATATTGTTCCCTTCCTTGAATGCGAAATCATATCACCTACAATCACCCCTTTTTGTTTTTACCCAATAAAGTGCTTTTTTTTTAAATCCTCAATCAGCGCAATAAAAAAGAATATACATCTTTCCTACAGAAAAAAAATATCAGTGTTTTAGATTTATTCAATTCTCTATGCAAAACTTGTCAATTGATTTATAATAAACAAAACAATTTAAAATATGAAGTACCACCACTTTACCTTTATAATACAAATTATTTAAAATTGCCAAAGCTTTTTAATTCCTGATTTTTCTTATTTGTTTTTTTTTTTGTTTCTGACTCTTTTAAATCTATTTTAAATTTTCATTTTTAAGCCCCTAAAGCACCAACAAGCTTCGCTTTCTTACCAGGAAAGAAGCTGTATAAAAAAAACACATCATTATAAAATCAATATATTTATCGCTTATCTAAAATTTTACAAATATAAAAATTTTAAATATTTTAAAATGTAATGATAAAAATATTTACAAATCAAATAGATGTACATTAAAATAATTATAATTTTTTTTTAAAGAAACCGTAGAAAAGAAACTGCTTACTTACATCGCCATTACTGGCGGTTATCTATCGCTGCACGGTTTTAGTGGTTATATTCACTAATTTGAAAGCACTATTGTATACATGTAGTATTATTTGGCACGTAATACACATTGCTTAAAAATTATAGTATTTGGTTTTTCAAACTTTTTTTGGCGTAAACGGGAAGAACATTTTTAATTTTTGGCAAAAACAAGTTATGGTGAAAACGGATGAAGGCCAATATTGTTTCAGCGGAAATTGGTTTCACCTGTAATTTTTTCTTTATAAATCTACCTATAATCATCTTTGAACATACGACATAGCTAAAATACTGCGTCGTATTATATCTTGTAATATTAATTAAATAATAACAAATCGTTTGATAGGACCACAAGAATGATTATTCCAAGTAGGAGAATTAATTAAATTAATTAAAAATTAATCAACACATTATTTTACTTAAGAACTTCTTAGAAAACCCTTTTGTATATTATAATAAATACATACGCTTGTATTAACATCATCAAAACTTTAAAATGTTTTTAATGTAAATAATTGCATTACATGTTATGTTATGAACAACTAAAAGTAAACCTAACGAAATGTATATTATGTAAATTAGAAACTTTCTTCGTGAACCAAACATTAAGGTATTTTTTCTTGTTCAAATATCAAATTCAGGATTTGAATTTATATAAAACACTGAAACATAAATTATTACATAAAAATGTAAAACAATACATGATTTAATGCAGTTTAATTCATCTTGGTATATTCAATAGAAATCATTTAAATGTTTATTTTATAGTTGCATGTAAGCATGGCTTACCATGACCTAAACAATATAGATTTTTAGAACAAACAGTTAAATTAAAAAATAAAATGACTATAAGACAAGTAAAAATCATCATTATATTTTATTTAGCTACTGTAGCATCTAGTGCACATCCACCCCTTTCCCCCGCCTATAAGATAATTTATTCTTCTATGCTACCACTCTAAGCTCTAAGCTTCTCATATACAACTATACATATGTATCTGACTATATGTAGTCACACCAGCAATCCAACCCTTCCACACCAATAGTTCTGTGACAGAACTTCTGTCATCATGCTGTACCTCATGGAAACTGCTCTGAGTTTCACCCACCCCTTCTTAAATTCACCACCACTTGGTGTTTTTGTACCCTATGGACAAAAATTATCGAATCAATGGTAACATTTTATTTATTCAAAATGAAATCCATTTAATTGAAATTAATGCTATTAGAAGATTAAGTTTTGACTAACCATCTACATATTTTTTTTTGTATTTGTATTTATTCATTACTGTCAATCATTTCAACATAAATATATTTTACATAAAATATAACAATAAAGCTAGATACATGGTTTCACAGTTCCCTTTTCAAAAGAATAATGGTTGTGAAGTTAAGAAACATAATTCATACTTAATTTGTACACATTTTGTTACCTATATGAAAGAAAACATATCAAAAACAATTATTTATCACTAATTGGAAATATTAGTTTGTTATGTTTTAAAATTTGGCTGAGTACCTAATTGACTACCAACTTGTATCTACTATATTATAAATAAATTCAAATATTAAATGTAATAAAACAATATGTTAATACATTTTAGTATAATCTCATTCTAAAAAAATTTAATTTTTTATTGTTTTTTATAAAAATATTCTTTCTTCATTTATATTTATTGCAGATTACTATGAATAACAATAAAACGTTAAATTATTTAATAGAAAAATATTCTACCTTACATTATGAAGCTCATAGTTTTAAATAACTACAAATTGTATAATAACAAATGTTTTTTTCCTAGGATTTAAATTTGTATTGACAAGTGTATATATTATTATGAACGAATGAATAACATAAGACATTTTTATTGGCAATGATAAAAATGTATTCAATATTTATAATGTAGGCTAACATGAACTCGGCCGATTTAATGGAGTCAGACGAGAAAAAACTAGGGCCAAAAAGTCGGAGCCAACAATTCTATTCCAAACAAGATATTGTGGAACAGTACTGCCTAAGCGATAAGCAATTACAAGTATTAAACAGGGTTAGACAGCCTCCAGCATTGTTTGGATGCATATCCAGTCACAGAGTAAGGAAATTTATTATTGTAACTTCTCAATACGTCTTTTGTTTAGTATGATTATGGAATTCGTAGTATAATATAATTGTGTATGATTTTATTCCAAAAACTAAAAAAATTTAATTTCGATAGATTTTATTATTTCTTAACGTTCAGTGAACTAAATATTTTAGTGTGCGACAAAAAAAAACATGATCATAAAACACATTTTAAATTTTGAGAGAAAGGCCTATATATTGTAATAAATTGGGTAGGTATGTTTTTTTTTACATTTTTACATGTTCCAGGAGTCGTCTTCTTGTGGTGCTAGGAGCTCACCGAATCTGTTGACCGCCTGCGTTCGGCGACGAATACCAAGTGACGAGAACCTCCACGACCTGTACAAGCGACTTCCAGCAGACTGCGCTCCATATTCACGGTGGTCGAGATACCATCACTGCCATCCTGAAGCATTCCCCGTGCATCACTGCCACCAATCGGACTTGGCCGAAGCACCGCCACCGCCACCGTGTCAACGATCGCCAGCCGCCAGACGCCACAAATGTTGGCCCCCCGAAGACGAAGTAATCGCATGATAATATTATTGTAGCCTTATTTGTGGGGCGAAATCGGATTATGATAAAGACAAAAATTATAGAGCACATGACAATATGTCAATATGCATACTTCAGGTTGGATGTATAAAATTAAAAATATAACGATGGCACAGAATATCATACATTTACGTGGTTAAGGGCTGATCGTTAAGTTGCAGTTACAAAAAAAAAGCTACTGTATAGTTTATTTTCTATCGCATAGATTCTCCTCAGTTCAAAAATCATGACACACTACAAATGAGAGTGTGAAATGGAAAACAACCAAAAACATCAAAGATAATAATTAGGTTAAGACGTATGACATTTCTGCAAGAAAACAGTTAACAGTTTTGTATGATATGTTGTTCATTTATAGGTATAAGGGTATCATTTAAACTTTAAAGTATAATTTTAATAATGTGAATCACAGTCTTAAATATAAATCTAACTAGTATAAATCTATACCATAGAATATTTAACAATATGGCATTTTTATAGGGTTGTCCACATAGGACGTGTCATCCAACTTGCCACGGACGGGTCTCGGGATTCGATTGTCCCGAATTCCATCTATGTACGCCTCACTATTTACCACCACCTCCCCCTCCACCGCCACCGCAGCAATCGACTTCCAGGTAATTATACTACAGTTTACAATTCTTAACATGTTCAACAGTAAGTACAAATCATCTAACATATTATCTAATCCTAAATCGAAAAAGTGCCAGACATCACTTGAAGGACAAATTTAAGGTGATGTACCAAAATTGCCTATACAACGCGCCGGCCGATGTTAAACAATTTTCAATTACTAAAAAAAATTTGTATCCAGATATATCGGGTCCACGTTTTATTTTCTATGGCAAAATCTTTACCAAATCGTACATAAAATATTATTTTAAAACCATGATGTTTAAATCTATGATCAGAATTTTCCATAATTGTATTATATTAATTAATATGTTATTACCTACTTATTTTACATATAGGTATTATAAATACATAAGTTGCCCATATGTTATGCTTCATTCATTCAGTACACACGCCAATACTGACACAAAAATATTATAAATGCTAACACTCAACCGACTGCAATGAAGAATTTAATCGCATTTCACACTCTGATAATTTTTTTTGTTAATTCAATATTTAAAAAAGTACAACCGAATTGAAATTAAAAACAAACAATTATTAACATAAAATAAATATGTATGCATTACAGAGTTTTTTGAAGCTTAACCATAATTGTATTTTAATTATTTACCTATAAATATGAATTATAAAATATTCACCTGTTGTATTAGAAACTTGGTCGTATATTTATATTATAAAAAGAGGTAATGAAACTCTTAAACTATATAATTTTGATAAGTAAGATAATATCGCAAAAACTTTAATAATACCTATATCAATGAAAATATTTGATATTTACATTTATATAGAAATTGAAGCTATTATAGAGATTTATATTTTATTATGTGGATATTGGATAAGTATAAACAAGTTTACTTTTTATATTAATATTTTACTATGTATGTTTTCAGAATGAGACATGTCAGCTTTGCCAGATCACACACTGTGACCTCATTTGACAATGTTTCTTTAAAATCAGCCAACAGTAGCAAATCGTTAGAAAGACTAATTGACGGTAGAAAAACTCCAGAACCTATTGTTTCCTCAGTCGAATCTCCGAAAATTATTGTATTAGGTATTTACACACGATAACATGCTAATTTAAAAACCCGAAAATATTAACTGTTATTATTGTAAATATTGATATAAATCAATTAATCATATGGTACGTTTGTATGTTACAGAAAAGATAAAAAGGGCACAAAAGGTACAAGCTACACAAACAGACGGAGCAAGAGATACAAGTCCAGCAACGCCGCATAAAGTTAAATCAGTAACGAAAAAAAATGCACAGCAAAATGAGATACCGAAATCAATTATCAAGTAAAGTACATACTTAACATTTTTATCTGTCTTGTTATCAAATGCTTGCGTACAATACGTACATATACCATACGGGCATTGGTCGGACGGCAAAAATTCGTTGTGCCCCGATGACCCGATCAACAGTACTAGATTTTCCCCACTTTTCGTCACGAATTAATAGGGCGTTCAGGGCCCAATCGGATGGTGACCGGATTCTATTTTTATTAAGATTTACAGAATTTTTTCGGTCTTATCGTCTACTGATTAACTGCATAATTATATTTATTATTTATTTTTAAACCATAATTTTCTTTTTATAATTATTTGTTGTGCAAAACGTATATTAAAAGGTTTTTTTATAAAAAAAATGAATTTTATTTTGTTTAATTAATCAACGGGAATTGCTCCACAGCCATCGTAATCCAATGATTTCCGAGCTATCCACCAACGCCCCAGAAGGCGTCTTAAACGTACCTGGTGTCGTGACCTACTTAAATAAAACTGTATATACCTCTACCTCCCCTTAATTTTGTATTCAATCACACTCTCTCTTGCTAGCACATTAAAGTAAACTTCTAACTTTAAATGCCACCAATGGGCGGCTTCTTATCTCCTGCGACTCAAGCCATGTCACCTCCATCACATACGCTTATTGTATAATAATATTTAAATATTGTGTATTTTAATAATAAATAATAAAAAAAAAATCAACGGGAATTGGTGGTAAGTTCAAAGTTGTGATAGAAATATTTGTGCCCCACCTTCAATGAACCTTACGAGCCGCCACTGGTCATCGATATTTTGAACTCCTTTATCGACATCGTTTTCATATAAATATATGATATATTATTATATAGATTGTTGCATAATATTAATAATAACACATCGTAATATAAACTAATGTATGACAAAAACACAAGAGTTGATATATCTGTGGATTTGATTAGGTTAGATTAGATATAGTCACATACAAGTTATAATAATGAAATAAATACTAAACATTTGGCACAAATCTTTCTTTTTAATCATTAGCCTTTATTATTGTCTCTGTACCACTTCATGTTTGACATGATTTTTCTTCGTACTTCATCCTCGCTCATATTATCGAATAGACAATTATTATTTATTCCAAATTATATACCACTTAACATAATATAAAATTATAAACGTTTTGAAATTGGTAAATTATTTTTTAAGTTTATGCCTACTTTAAATTTGCATGTAGGCAACAATGTCTAATCTCCGATTTCATGCATATACACAGAATATGTTCAATGTTCATATGAATATTAGATAATGTAATATTATAATGTACTAATCAGTACCTAATTAAACATCCATTAATATATTATATCACAGGCCATCGGAAACTTTCAGTAATGAGATACTAATTGACTTTGAGCCTAAAGATCCTCCTTATCGGAAGCAAAACAAAACGATCTTACATAAAACCGTATCAGACGGTGAAATTTTAATCGGCGAGATAGCAAGATGCAGGAGTCGAGAGGATGTAGAGGCATCAGTGTCTGATGGTGAACAATGCTACAAAAATTTAGTGGCTGCTTCTTGCGTAAGTATAACTGTACACCTACCAAATAATTTAATAATAATAATCGCTTATCCGATATTAATTATAAGTTATTACATTTATAATAATTGTCTTCGATAAACGTTGTTAGCAATAAAATATTCAAAATCATTATAAAAACTATACTATTACTATATTTGATTTTTAACTTTTAATTAGCTAATATGATTAAAAATTAACTATGTAAACTACTTTTTCAGCTAGTTATTACTTATTAGATTTGATTTAAAACACAAATATAATATTTTTTTAAATAAGTTTTATTTTATTATTCCCCGACGTTTTCATAAATTGTCACACGAAACACATTATATGTATTTAAGAACCATAAAATATAATATGATAAAATTAATTTAAAATTTACTCAATTAACATAGGTATGAAAAAATAGTTGTTATTCTTTCTTTTACATTGCTAGCTAAAAAAAATAATGCTAAAATGTATTTTTAGACTGGCGAAGGCTCTTTGGAAAATTTTCATGAAAACGAAAGCATTCTTTGTGAAGGAATTTACAAGTCCAAAAGTAGTGTGTGTTTATCTGAGTCGCCGAGTAAATGTAGAGCAAAAACGCCATCGTCTTCAAATGAACAAGAACCAAGTGATCTATCTCAAACTACTGTAAGTAGAAAACCACAAAATAAGTGTTAATAAAAATCGAGGAACTCGCTCTGCTGTATATTAGGCGCTGAGTGTACCTCGTCAATGAGCTGATAATTTATAAGTAGGCCAACCTTTATTTCAAAATATATCACATTATATTATTAAGCTATAAATAGGATAAACATATGAGAACCCTTGCATAACATTTTCAAGCTTTTATGTTTGTAAACAAAAGTTGTAGGTATCATGCATAAATCGAAAATAAACTTAAAATAGATAGTAGAATAACATTTTAATGTTTACAAATAACATCAAATAAGACCACATAATATTATGAACATTATAATATCATATTTATTCGATTCTTACATGGGAATTTGGTTAAAATTGCAAGTATACAGCTATTTTATTTTTAATTAAAAGCTTATTAAAAAATATTTATATACAATACATGGATATTGTAAATAATATGGTTTTCTATACTATTTACTATTTATGTTTGTAAAACATTATGTAATAATTAATTAATTGTATAATACAGTTAAAAAAGTTGATCCCATCTCTACAATACTACGTTAATTCACTATTTTTTAAAAAACCTATAGTGTAAAGACTAAACAGTTGAAGTAAACATACAAATTGTAGGTACTCATATATTTTAATAATTTATATTGGGAGCTAACAAATACGTTGTTTATAAATGTCATCAAATTAAAAAATCCCTATATTAGGTATATTAGGTATTAAATACCTATCCTTTTAGTTTTTTGCCACACAAAATATTGAACATTTTTATTTTAGTTATTTGATTGCACAGCGTTTTATTTAATTAGTTGTTAAATATAATAATTTAAGTGTCGATAACCTTAACAATGTTAATATTAATAGTCAATTAAAATATATTAAGCACTGTGACTTGAGTAAAACTAAAATACTTTAAAATGGATGTATGCGAACCTACTTGAAAATGTTTGGTCATTATTCATATTTAATTAGAAAATGTACTATGATATTCATTATTTTCTATTGAATTTAAAATAGTTGTATTGGATGCAATTCACTTAGTAAAATATTAATATAATTACATAGGTCTTGCAGTTTGAAGGTTTATCCAAGAAAACTAAACTAAAAGAAGATAACTTGTGTGATGTAATACAAAAGAAGATAATAAGATACACCGATCTGCCATTGAAATCTTCAGACCTAATTGAACAAGGAAATAGTCAAAACACTTTAGGAACTAATTGCCCAACGGCTGTGGAGCCGTCTGAAGTTTCAACTTCTACTGAAGATTATGTAACAGCTACAGATAGTGCTTCTTACACCACTACCCCAACTCAAGGTCCGTCAGTTACAAGTAGTTCATTTGACAGTGAATCTTCTAAATACAGTTTGCCTCATCCTATGTTTGATCACGACGTAAGTGTATCAAAAAAGTAAAAATAAATGCATATGTATCTAACTAAAACAGATATTGCTATTACTTGCAGACTACGCTTGATCCAACTGATCCAATTGATGAAGAACTCGGGGACGGTGAAGACTCAAGTGATGACGAAAGCAGTACATCCGGAAGGTACACATATTTTGTTTCCGTTACTACAAAAAAGTATTATTGATAATATTTCTTTCTCTTACACGTATGACTTCTTGGTTTCTTAACATTTTCGATACATGTGTCATTTTATTACTCAATCTATTATATGCATGACAAGCACACATTTTCTATACTTCATTTAATATACTCCTACATTTGATAGTTTGATTTACTTTAAAGTTTAAAGCAATAAAAAAACCCAACACACTACATTTCAATAGTGAATAAACACGATCACTATTTTAGTTACAGCGTGAAGTGCAGTATAGAGGATAATAAGAGTTCTGGTTCATCAGACGAGAATACAAGAATAAGACCGAAATCCATCTTAAAATTGGCTAAGTGAGCACATCAACGATAGGTTGTAATAAAGCAAAATTCTAGACAAGAAAATAGAGCTTATTAGGGTCCGCTCGTTGCAGGTCGTTAAGCATAGAATTCTTACCTTAGGTCGCGATTGGAGGTTGAAGAATAACATACATTTGGAATATTCATATATATATATATTGTACATATACAAATAATATAAAATCTCATGGAAATGCATGTGTAAAGCTTAGACAATTTCAAAATCAATTATCGCTTACTGTGCACTACTCTATTGCTTTTATTTACTCATATTAACTATTTGATGCATTTAATACATCCATTTGTGAAACAAACTTATTTTCGTATAATTAATTTATAATTGTAGGTCCATACCAAAGAGCAAATCAAAATCTTTAGAAGAATCAAATAATTTGAATAATCCGGATCTAATATCAAGTAATGACGCATATAATTATTATTTTTAAAAATTAACTAAGTACCTACTATACAATATTAATATTTTATAGGTAACCGTATAACAGCCAAATGCCATACAGATGAAACTAATTCCAATTTAATTAAGGCAATGACTTTTTAAATATTTATATTATGCTTTAAGTAAAGTTTGCTAAAAAAGTTTGTATTTTAGAAGTTGATGGGCAACGGTTTTGCAACTAAAATATCATTACCTGTCTATTCTTCCGACGAGTCTTCAAAAGCGCCAGAACGACGCAGAAGGCCAAGCCCTAGACGGAAAAGTATAGGAGCTGTAACACTAATTAAGTAAGTTAAATAATAAAATGTAAATGATTTATTTATACTAAATTGTAATTTCAGCTCTATTGATAAGCAACCTTCGATAGTAAATAAACCAGAAAAACGGAGGGAATCACTGCCCGAAATTCTTAGAAAACCACAAGTAACTCTAGATACTATGGAAAAATCAAAAACTGAATTTCACCTAGAAGACAAACCTAAATGTTCATTACAAACAAAGTCATCCCAAATTAATTATTTATCTCAAATTAATAATTTGAACTTGAAGACGGTGAGCGCAGAGTCTCTGCGTTCTATTAGCCCAGGAAGTGATTCAGTTTTCTACAGTGAACCATGCAGTAGGGTATCATTATTATCTAGATGTACACTATGTAATACCGAAGTTGATCTAGATTATACTAGTAATACAAATAGCGATATCATAAATATTGTTAAACCACCTGAAGGGTTTGGGGATTCTCCAGAAGAACCCCCTACCACGCCTATAAAACGATTAACGAAACGATATCGTTCAGAGGATAGAAGAAGAAACACTAGGTCAGAACAAACTCGAGCAAAGTCTGAAGAAAGAGTAAAACATACAAAAGAAAAAGGGAGGTAGGTAAAAGATAAAATTTAGTAAAACGTTTTGGCATAATATGTACTTCTTCCCAGGCCAATGACTAGATCGACCAATGTAAGTATGGAAAGATTAAATGGAAGTAGTTCTAGCCTTCATTCAGATGACGATGACTGGTCGGGCGTCTATACAACACCATTTACATCCTTCTCGTGGGTATACATAGACGAAATAGAAGAGTTCTATGTATGGAAAAAACCTTCAGATTTGCCAGGTATCAATTAATAGATGTGCCATGCATCCATATTAATTATTTCATTAATTTTTTTTTAAGATTTAATTTATAAATTTCGTATTTTTTTAAATATAGACATTAAATGTTCGCCTGAGTTAAAACGAAGAGATTCCATTGAATCAACGTGTTCAGAACATGAGTTTCGAGTAAAATATCAAACAATTACACACCGAATGGTACACAGAAAATCAAGTTTAGAAATGTTTAAAAGAATCGCTTCAAAATCGTTTGGTATGTTGTAGCCTTGTAGGTGCAGTTTCTGGATATTAAACGAATATTAACATGGCGTTTAAATATTTACAGATAGCGACGAACGCTTAATGGTTAAACGTGAATCAGGAGAATTCGGTTTTCGTATTCATGGGGCTAAACCGGTCGTAGTATCCGCGATTGAAACGGGAACAGCTGCAGAAAACTCTGGTCTCCAAGTGGGTGACATAATCATCAGCATCAATGACATGTGTGTTCTCGATGCATCACACTCGGAATTTGTCAATGTTGCACATAGTGGTTCTGACGTATTAGAATTGGAAGTCGCCAGGACCTGTGATATCTTAACACCAGTGATCGATCCATCCACAATTGAAAATCGCATTGTTATAGCCAGTAAACTATGGAAATTTAGTATTGGGACAAAAAAAATGAAAAACTGTTGGCAGCCTAGATATTTTTGTCTCAAGACCGATAATTGTCTCTACTACTATAAATCTGCTTCTTTGAAACGAGTACGTTTTCGCAGTCACCCATTGTATTTCTACCCGTAGGTATTAATAAATTACTTTGCCTTTAGGACAGACATCCTCTAGGAGCATTAAATCTTAAAGGTTTCACCGTAGTGCAAACATCGGACACGGGAAGAATGTACAGCTTCCGACTGGAAAGAAAAGACCACAAGAAAACAAGGTTGCACATAGCAGCGAACAGTGCAGAAAACGCGGACCGCTGGATCGGAGCTCTCGTCGAAGCTACCAAATGTCCAGTAAGTACATTGTCTGCAATTATATGTTCGATCTAGGACAAATGAACATGGCCGTTTAGACGATAAAAAAAAAATTAACCAAATATAAACTTTACTATTAAAAACTCAAGAGGTTTTTTCGTGTCGACAACGATGTAATATATAAGAGTTCAATTGTTCAAGTTTAATTTTCACGTTTTTTACAGTCGATGGAATGGCTCAACGAGGATAACTTAAAATCTGTGGTCACCATCGATCCGCAATCGGACTGCCAGGGTTTCCTCTCCACATTGGTACACCACTGTGGAAAATCGTGGAAAAAATACTACTGCGTTCTTAAAGGTGCTAGGCTGTATTTTTTCGTAGACAGCGTAACCCGATTTGCCAACGGTGACTATTAATTATTTATTTATTTATTCGTTTGAAATATTTTTAATCCGTCAGACGTCATTGCGGTTTTTTTTCAATTCACAGGAATGGCTTGTCTCCACGGTTACAAAGTGCAAAGTTCCGTTAACGCTAGCGTAAGGAAATTTGCGTTCGAGCTTATACCACCCGACTTGTCGTTTAGATATTTTTATTTTTATACAGACACCGAAGTAGACAAAAGAAGGTACAGACAAAAATCACGCCATTATGATTTGATTACCAACTGAAATGTATTAGGTACTATTAATATTAATTATCATATATTTTCTTGATTTATATTAGATGGATAGCTGCTCTAGAGTATAGCATAGATCGTTGGATAAACGTTTCATGATAATATAACGGATTCAACAAGTGTTTGTCAGATCAATTCCAATAATGTAAGTTTATCTCGTGGCTTTAGCCATTGCCCATTAGACATTAAGTATTATATTTACTGTGTAAAATTGTTAAAATAGTCTTTCAATTAAATGTCTATTTCTATAAATATTTTATAGTTAAACATTTAATTTATAACGCCGCATGCATCCATAAATATTACATACTATCTTTGAACATCTATGTAGGGAGATGGCTGTTGTTGTATACCCTCTTATAGGCCGTAACCTGAGAGGGGGGGGGGGTAGAACAATTTTAGATGTGCCTATTGTATTAAGGATAATTTTGCATTCGTAAAAGCAGTAATAACGAGCATAAAGAGTTTTTATATTGAAAAAATGATAAGTATCCAGTATTCATATAGTAAAAACAATTTGAAGCCCTGAAGTTTTTTTTTAATTAAGACCTTGCCTCCTTTCATTAATTTGTATGAGTTGTATGGCATAGTAATTAATATAGTAGGTGCCTACCTCATACTAAAGCACCAGTGGCACCACGACTAGTCTGAGGACCGCTCCACCATTTGCAAATCCTAGCTACGGCACTAGGTATGTATATAGGTGTATTGTCAATTTGTATTTCCTACATTTTAATATTTCATCATTAAAAATATTTTTAGACAACCTGTCCTAATATATATTTTTTACTCACAATCGCACATGGTTTAAGTTGATATTCTATAAACTTAAATAAAAAGGAAAAAAATGTTCTTACCTAATTTCTTAATAACATTGACGATACCTAATATTATAAGCTATAAGTAAAATGTATCATGGTGCTACATGTACCGTTACATGTATTTGCAATACAATATATTGATACTAGGTATGACCTGAATTTTCTTTTCTTAATCCTTAGATTGAATGCTGGGCCAATGTTTCACCATTCTTTTCTACCCTCGACGACTTCCTTAAATTCCCTGTAATATGAATCTTTTCTAGTATCCAACAGAATTTTTTTTTATTAGCGTGCATATAGGTCTAAGATCTTTCCCTTCCTGGATTCCCTTCGATTTTTCTTTCAATTATTGTTGTTATCCGTGTATTATTTCTTATGAGACGTCCTACCCACTTCTTACATTTATCCTCTGATACATCTTTTCTTTTGTCACTCGTTCGTTCTACGACATTTTTGATACCCTTCGCCAGCACCGAGTTCCAAAAGTTTCTTTTTCCCTTCTGTCCGTATTTATTATTGTCCACCAATCCGCTGCGTACAATGCCACACACAGACACACTCCACACAATTACATAACTACACAAGTGTTATAATGATACGTTCTGTAGTAGAATAAACATTCACAATAAATATGAAAAAAGTGTTTAAGGTACGGTTGTGATTTTTTATGAATATGACAGAGAAATAGCTACTTACATAGAAGTATAGAACACGGTTTGTACAGTAAGTACATAGGTCGATGATTCGTTCGAATGTGATTCTTCCAAAAGGAAGATGCCTTGACCAGCCCGGTTACTAATGCTACACGTGTCAAACGGTGTGATACTGTGATAAATAGTATTTGTTTAATAATATGTAACAACTAACATGCTATTATGGTGGATTGTGGGTGTGCACTGTGCATATACTGTGTTGACAAGTCCTGGTGTCATTTAGGGGTTGATTAGTGGTTTTATATTACCTATTGGTCTAAAAGGTGTATACTTGTACAATAATTACTCTACTAGGCTTTAAAACTAAACAATATAAACTCTGTGTGAATATATTTTAGTTCGCTGGCCTTACTCGTAGTATTATTCAATATAAAGGTGATGATAAGTTTGTGTACCTATATGTCTCCACGGGGTCGTATTCGCTGAGTCATCGTGACGTAGGTACTTATATAGCGATGTATAATATGTATGATGTAATTCGATTAGTATTAATTTATGTTTTCACTATTGAACTAATACGATATTGTGATAATGAGTACTTTTTAATGCGTTTTTTTTATAAGTAGGTAATTCGAACACAGTTCATGTGAGATACATAAACGATGTTTTCTTAACTGTTATTAATTTATAGGATGATCTAAGTCGTATACTTCTAATATAAGCTAGTAAGCTACTTAATATATATTACTCATTAATTTAACTATAAATTATCTTAGGTTCTAAATGAAATCCATATATTGGTGGTTACAATGTATTTGATTGCTAACTGAATGTAATTTAAGTTGCTTAATACCTACTATCTATGATTGAATCGTTACTATATATGAGTTCTAAATTATTATATCGTTATGCTAATGAAATATCATTAATTTATTTAGTACTTCCTTATAATTTGAATAATTGTTATAACTTTATATATTTTTATTTATTATTAAGAGAAAAGGCTTCGACAACTTAGGTTATTGCCTGACACCATATTTTACATGGTATCTTTTTTATGATATTTGTGGTAGGTACTTAAAAATGCTATTATTTTTGGTATTTGACATTTGCCGAGCTCTTCTGCTAACTATATATTTATAATAATTAATAAATATGATTATTTGATCACACTATGCTAGTTAGTAATCAATATTATGCCTTAAGTTTTAACAATAAATAAGGAAGAAAGTGGAAAGTACTTTTTAAAAAGAAATTCTGTTCTATAAATAATAAGGTGTAAAGGTTGCAAAAAATTATTTGTTAAGATTTGTATTACGTTTTTATTTTAAATAAAATATGCAATAAACATATTATTCACCTTATGTATTTAAAAAATAATACATTCAACTATAGTCATTTGAATTATCTACTTACAAAATGTATAATAATTGTCAATTCATTTATATTTTCTAGGGCAGAAATATGAAGCTAGCTTGTGATATCATTCTTACATTTATATTTGGACCATTACAACAACACAAACAGCGTAAAAATATTTACTTTTAAATATTTCAATATTAAAATCTATATTATATTCATTATTTTTAGTTAATGACTAATAAACATATTATTTTATGTATATTTTATAGTTATGTTATGTAGATAGACAACTGTTATTAAAATAATTATTAATTTTACAATGGCAAGTTAAAAACCATTGCAAATTTTAATTCTCGACTGTTTTAATTATCACATACCTACTATATTATAATATTCTAACACAATATTTGTATGATTTAGAATTTGTTATAAATATATTTTCTCAGAAATTAAAAAGAGTTAGATATATGTACCTATAAGTTATGAATTTTCACTTTGAAGTTTGATTAATTTACTTTGTATTGTTAGTAGTTACTACTATGTGTACATAGACTAGAAAGCAATACTGTTGAGTGTTGACATTCGATGTTCATTTGTGTTTTCTTAGAACATAATAATTATTACTTATTATGAGAATGTTGATAATTGTTCATGAGTGGTCTTTAGTATTTACTCTCGAAAGATTTTTAATAAATAAGATAAATTTATAAAGAAAACCGAAATATGTAACCGTACCAGGGAACAACAAAATTACGACATATTTTTATTTTTTCAATTAGGGTCTCATTGGTTGTTCCTAATTTGAAATAACTTGTCAATTTTCAAGTACGATTACTGCACTTAGCGTTTTACTGTTATGTATTGTACTTATGTATTACGAATTGAACACATTTAAACTTAGAACTTTACAAATAATGTGTATTTAGGTTATTACTTGGATAACTTGTATTATTCTATACATTGTCCACAGGGTGCCAAAAATCAGTCTTTATTATAGACTTGTTCAAATATTATGGATTTTTTAGTGGCTAAATTTACTATTATAGAACTATCTTAGAGGAAATCTGATTTTTCAATAATTCAATTGCATCAATAAAAATGTAATTACTTACATCAATTTGTATATTTGTCATTAACATACCGATTTCTCCACTAGGTATATTATATTTAACTATTCTCCACTTCCAACTTATATGTATCAGTATACAATTATACTTATATATTTTGACTATTTTGTACAAGTCATTATTTTTAGTTACCCACCTAGTATTTTTAATTTAAAAAATTGACTGAACGGTAAATCAATGTTTCGAACATAAATTTATTTTATATTATTATTTATTAATTATTTATTATAATTATACTACTACTATTACTACTTATTATTATAATTATTATATAATATTTTATTTATCTTTATTATTGTAATATAATTTATTTATTAACTATTAGCGTAAAAAATAATTTAATAGATACAAATGTTTCACTACCTATTAATTTTATTCATATTTGTCGCCAACGTTTTTAATAAAATTGCTCAATAAAAATAATGTGTACACCCATTGGACAGTAGTTTGTAAAGAAACGTATTAATAGGGACTGGATTTATATGCAAACGCATATATGTATTGGAATGAGCTTTTTGAAAACTGATAAAAATTGTTCCAAATTTAGATCATTCTTATTAAAATAACACTAGTTGTACTTGCCATACTTTCAATATTTTAACGTTTTAACCTATTAAATGCATATTTGTTGTCTTATAGTGCATATTATTATTTATAGCACGCATATTTGTTTTTCGTCATATTTTCATGTTCACGGCCACATATTATATTATCTTCTATATCTATATAAAAATGGGGTCGCTTTCTTTTGTTCGGGATTGGGATTAACTCCCAAACTTCTTATTAAATCGTCGTGCAGTATTTTTTCAATTAAAGAGGACATCACAGAGAAGGTTTTAGGCATTAATGTAGTCCGATAAATTTAATAAATAATTAATTATTATTAATTTAAAAAAACGTGTAAATTGTATACCTATAACTTTTTTAGTATGAAATAGTCGCTGGCTGAAAATAAATAACAATTAAACTCGACAACCACAGATGCTTCTAGGCAAGTCGGTATCGACGTAGAATAATAAACAATTATTATAATTATTTAGTTTAGCAAAAAAAAAAATTAATTTTATCTGATTATCTATTATTAGCATTTATAATCAATGGTGTTACATTAGTTATAGGTAAAAAATAACTAATAACTAATCTAATTTTCACAAATTGATGCTAAAAAGGTTGAGTTGCACTAATAGTCGCTCATAAGAGTATCCACAGTCAAAATAAAAAATACTATTCATATAGAGTATATACCTAGCATGGGGTACGATAATAATAGTATCATATAATATAATATAATATTCTACCTGATAATATATTGCTAGCATTATAACAAGTGAGTCTCATTGAGATTCGGGATTTTCAACGGGGCAACAAAGTGCACAGGATCAACTAGTTATCAATAATATTACTAAGAAAATGCGGGCTACTGTTTTATAGGTTGAAGATAAAGAATGTTAAATGACAAAGAACTTAGTGAAGACGACAAAATACTTTTTTATACTTTTAAAACCTTTTTATACCTTTTTAAATACTTAATTAATTAATACATATTACTTACATAATTTTAAATAAATTGTTTTCAATACAATTTTAAGTGGATACTTAAAAATATTTAACACATTGTACATATTTTGTGGCATATTAAAGCATTTTTAAAAGCATATTTTGAGGATTTTTTGTGCATATAAATCCGGTTCCTACTTATCAAGAGGTTTGATTTTCACAAAATGTAAGTTAATAAGAAGTTGATAAGTAAAACAAACTGTTCGTTAAAACTAAAAAAGTACAAATTGTATATTGTGATGACATAAGAAATGTACAGGTAAGTGTTAACATAATATGTAATACATCTGGTTTCTCCCAATCATTGCCTTATATAGTATTATGTATATAAATTATATTACAGGTGTTTAAGTTTAAAATATTGAATTCAATATTCTAACTATGGAAAAATAATAAGATTATTGTGTATTTTCCTTTTTTGTCATTTCTAAACATTTGCGAGTAGAACCAACATATTGTAAAATAGTTCCACATCTATTATCATAGAGAGGATCAATTTTTTTTACTTCATTCTTCCGCTCAAAAAACAAAGCTGTCCCAGTTATATATCTCCATTCATTAAAATGAAAAATCTATAAACAGAAATTAACAATATTGAATATATCTAATAAATATACATAATAAATTACATACCTATAGGTTTGCTATTATTTATCTTAAGTAATCTTAATTATTACTACCTACTATCATTATTACAAATAACAGAAAAAAATACCAAGGAAAATTATTAAGGAAAATAAAATAAACTAAAAGAAAAACAAGGAAAAAATTAACAGAAATACATCAAAATTATTTAAACATGTTCTGTTGTTCTGCAAGGGTTAGCTTACAAAATACTAGTTCTAAGTACCTAATATAGTAATATAGGACAGCGGTTCTCATACTTTTTTGGTTGCGGAGCCCTTATGTGCCTAAAAAAAAATTACGAAGCCCTCAAAATTCAGAAATGTCTATTTGAGAGAACAATAATTCATAGAAAATGATGTTGATTATAAAAAAATTTGTGCATTTATAAATAGTTTACAGTTTTAAACTTTAAAATAATACATATTGGTACGGTCCAAATAAAAATGAATACAAGTATAAAAATTAAAAATGTAACTAAGAAATATAATAATAATTTAATAATTTGAATTTAATTAATACAGATAATATATGGGAGCCACGGAGCCCCTAGATTACTCTCGAGGAGCCCCAGGGCTCCGCGGAACACAGTTTGAGAACCGCTGATATAGGACAATCAATTGTATTTTCAGTGGAACATTTCCAAGTAAAATAATTTTTACCCATGTATACTTAGCAATATAAATGTATCCTTCATAATCTTTCTTTGTATCTATTTTATTGGGCTTAAAAATAAACATCAAGTTACATCAAGTTATGATAAAGAATTTGTAACATACTATTTGTAGGTACTAACTTGTTTTTTCTAAAAATTCTTACAGAATGATCATCCAAAACAAACCTAGTTAAATGACTAGAGCTAAATAAATATAAAATCGAGAATGTAGGTGCTTAACCCAAATTAATTTACTTTTAGTACAACCCTGGCCAGCCGATATTTAATACAAATCGTAATCAATTTGATACAAAAAATTACTATCAAACTTAACTAGGTAGGTACCTTGTTTTCGATTTGTAATGCTGGAGAATCAGAGTCCACAGCTATCACTCGAACATTGCTGTTTGCGTTCAAATTGGACATTTCATCAGCATTGTCCACAACTACATGAATCAAGGTTTCCTCAACAATTTCTTCACAATCCTGTGTGTCTGTTGAATCATTATCGGATTGCATAATAACACAGCAGTATTAATGTATCGTCTTACGTTTTGAGCAATCAATAACCTTGTAGTCCTAGAGGTGTAAGAAGTAAGAACATATGTAACATCAATAGATTCAATATTTTGAGCCAAGAATCTCGAATGTGAAGTTTAAGAACCTACCTACAAACCAATTACCAAGGTATCTTTATTAGTTTTAGTCAGTTACCTAGCATTAAACAATGCATATAACAAATTACAATTTAGCCGGTGGTAACTCAAAAAAATAGTTGTAACAACTAACAATAATTAATAATGTAACATATTTTGTAATTCCCGGCTTCGACTGATCGTTGGCGGCGGACATAGGATCATATTATTATAAGATTTAACCACGACTCACGAGCCTATATCACTTCTTGAATCACGTACCTATTTAACACAAAACTCAGTAAGCAACTTGTGATAAGATAATGATAAGATAAAAAAATATAAATTATTAATTATAAATCACACATATCATAATAATATTATTGCCAATTGCAATGTTTAAGATACGGTTTTAGGTATATTTTAAACTGTGATCAGAAATTCAGAACATGTAAAAAATAGAATAACGCAAAATCAATTTAAAAAATAATAATAATATCTATTATCTATTAATTTAACTTATCGCTTGTATTATCCTTATCAATCTTATCATATATTTAAAGTTATGATATTTACAATTTACATTTTATCATGAAGTATGCACTATGATTTATATTTTATGAAGACTTTTCAGTTAAAAAATCAAGCATTACCTATTTCATTTAAATAATAAGGAAAAAAAATATCTTCAACATGTTGGTCGGTCGGCAATCAAAAAATATTTTATCTAGTGTAACGAATACAAACATAAAAAGGTGTCTTGGCACAGCATCTGAAGACTCTGGCCATGCTCAATTTGTATATAACCGCAACCCTAGAAATCTGGAGAAGTTAAGAATCGCTTACAAACCGGCTGGTTATCATCTCGAAAAACCTGGTCGTGAGTTTTGGCATAAGTAAGTGCACAAAGGGCTAATATTTTGTCAGGAAACATAATATGGTTTTCATATTCATGTCATGTATTTTTTTTTCTTAGGCTACAAGTAACAACTAGTAAAAGACACGTGACAGCTAGTGTTTTGCACCACACAGGTATGGTTCCAATAATGGCGACTACTGCAGAATGGGCTATACGCAAACAGCTCTTTAGGTTTGTTTATTTTTCGAATACCTGAGTAAATGTTAAAATAAGCCGTAAATATTTTATTTGTGTATTGTACCTAATAGGTGCCTACTTTCTAAACATTGTTGATTGACGAATTAACCATACACATTTTTTATTCATTGTTCCTATAATACTACTACTATTACACCTTATGTATTGTACTTTTAATCATTCATATTATTAAATAAAATACAAAAATATCTATAAATACCTATGTAAAATGTGTTTATATTTGGTTATTTATGGTTTGTTTAATGTTGATTATCTTTTTAAAATTATTATTTAGCACTTTAGATAAAATGGCATACATAACTATTGGCAAAGTGTTAGCACAACGTTGTTTAGAATGTGGTATTTCTGATATGATAAATTCCTATGAAGTTTTGCCAAATAGTAAAGTGAGTCTTATTTTACAATATTATTTTATTTTATTTAAACCTAGACAATTATTGTATTTATACATTTTAATTACAGCTTGAGGCATTACTAGACAACTTATTAAAAGGAGGTGTACGATTAGAAGAAGATCCAAGATACAAGTCACCAAATCCTTGGGATCAAGAAAGACCAGAAAAACCATGGGAACATTATTAAATATAATTTAATTCATTTTTTGAACAAAGATTATGTATATTATGCATTCAAATTTTGTATTAATGTATTAAACAAAACTTAATATTTAAGGTAGAATTATTTTAATAAACAAAAGTAGGAATTCATTTTTGTTTTGATTAAAATAATACATTTTAATTCTGAGTGAAAAAAAGAGATAAAAAATTAATAGATTTTATAGGAGGCATTAATACCCTTTGTCCACACAAGGAAGGGCTTAGCCCCTCCAAAAATGTATATTTTAATTGAAGTATTAAATCCTTCATTAATTATCTAATCTACATAATACAGTAAAAGTTGTTTGGAAAAAATTGTTTCTAAAGTTTAAATCTGGAAACACGAAACAAGCCAGTGCAAGATGCAAAGCTTTATCCTAATTTATATAAACTATTATCATTATCTTTAACAATTCCAATTAGCTCTACAACATGTGAAAGATCATTCTCAGCAATGAGAAAGATAAAAAATTGGCTTCGAACATCTATGAATCAAGATAGATTTACAAATATGTCATGGATTTATATAGTACGAGATTTATCAAATGAATAGTTCAACGAAAAAATATTAGATACATTTTGCAATTTCTAACTGAAGATTCCAATTATAATAATTAACTTAATAAATATATATATATATTACATTTATTTACTTAAATGTTGTTATTTTTTTCATACAGATATTTTTAGTTTTATTAATAGATGCATTATAATATATTAAATGTAGGAAAGTAAGTGATAAAATATGACATCGCCTATATTGGTACCTTGAATGGAGGGTGTGGGGGCAGATCCCCCCCACAGGCCTGATATAAATATGTTGAGCTTCTTCAAGTTAAAAACTGAAATAGCGCCTATGTGTACACTGTACACACAATAAAAGTCCTATCGTTGTACAATAACAGATAATGGATCCAAAGACAATATTGCAGGTCATATCTCAAAGCCAATTTTGAGGTTTTGGTTTTGGCTTTTAAAACCAATTTCTTATATTTTAACGGTTTTCCTATCCGGTTTCAACAGCCGAAAAAATGTTATATCCAAATTCAAATCACGAATCACAATTCTGTAAGCATTAAACTAACGATAATAATATATAATATATAAGTATAAACAATTAACTATTAAAGTTTAAAATAGTTAAGTATAACTTATAACTTTAACTATTAAAAACATCATGTTATTGAAATGAAATTACGAATATCAAATAGGTACCACATTTCAGAATCACAAACCGATAATATAAATAAAATATACTTATAAGTATATGAGTTAGGTAGGTATTTAATTTACATACATGATTTTTTTCCAATTAATACGAGTTAAGACGAATTGTCGAAGTTTGACGATAAAGTATATACCTAATATAATATGTAATAAGACAAGTATAGAACTATTTAATCACACTAGTTGATTACTAAACACTAATCACTAATCAATAATCGCAATTAATTATTAAATATTCTAGGCAATTTTAAATCATAATAATTTACGTAATACCTATACACATTAGTTGTTTATTTATTCGTTTTAAAGAATATGATGAAAAAAATAATGATTATCATATTTTACCAAATTTAGAAGTATTATGACATGTACCTACTAAATATTAATATATTTGTATTTAAATTTTAAATCGTGTCCAATAATTGTTATGCGACTTTTTACAATTCATGGACTTCACAATGATAATTACGTGCCTCTTAAATGTTTTTTTTGCTGCCAAAGGAAAACCCTGAAACTTATGTTCAATTATTCAACATATTATATTACATAATGTCTATTCCACAAATGGTTTCTTGTTTACTCCTACAAACGTTCAGATACATTTTGAATTCACCATACATTCTGCTGTAAAACGTGTATTATCTACACCTCAAATGAAGGGATGGTTTGCATCTAGGACAAAGCTGGTGGAGGAAATAGCAAATTTTTAAAATATTTGTTTGGGCTGTCCTTCTTGGATCCAGATGACGTAAAATAATACTTTAAGAATTATTAGCTTCCCCTCAATTTTACTTATTGAATATAATCATCTCCATTACATTAAAACAGATGCATATGCACGTTTACCCTAAAAAAGTGTTCTCAATATGCAAAAACGACGAATTGAACTACTAACATAGGTAGTTGTAAAGCAATGACCAATGGTTAGGTAATGCTAATGGGACGATATAGGGAAGCAATTTACCTCGTGGTAAAAAACAACTGTTACGCAATTCACCTGGTAATAAAATAAAACTGGTACTCAAATCACCCAATTTTTAAAAAATATGGGACGCATTTCACCTAACGCTGTTGGACAACGGTATAACTCATTTTATCTCAGTAAGATAACAATACCATTATAGTGATCCCTCGCTATCGTGTATTAAAAAGAGTTCTTCAAAGGTGGTATCCGCCATGTGCCCATGTACGGATCAGGTTCGATGTAGGATAGGTTTAAGAAAATTGAACAAGCGACAATGTTTGTTAATTATGAGTTAGTTTATTAAAATATAATATAACTTTGAGGACAGAGCCAAAAGTAAAAATTCCCAGTAGTTTTCAAAAGCGTCAGAAAAAACGGAGAACAGTAAGGAAATAAGTTAGACCGCTGATATAGCAAAAAAATAAGTTTGCATGGCCTATTCATTCTTCTTTCAATCAATGTATAATAAAATTACAATCAAAATAAATACCTACTCAACGACACCATAATAATACGACACGCTACATCTGAATTTGGTCCTTTTTCTCGGCTCCTAAGGGTCGTAGCATGATTTTAGATAGCCTATAATATTATACCTTTCCCGAGAATTGGGCTATTAAATGCAATAATAATTTTTCGAACCCGACCGTTAGTTCTAGAGATAAGCTCGATCAAATTAACTAACTCTTCTGATTTGTAGTAGGTATAATTGTTTTTCTCAATGACAACGTAGAGCGGCCAATAATTGTTTACAATTTTTGTTCTAAATTAGAATGTATTATCTACTTAATTTGAAACAAACGGCAAAATTCGATTTTAGTTTGCCGAATTAAAATCTTTGGACCTAACTACTTAAGAGCACATCTTTAAAATACGTATTTTTTAAAAATTAGAAAGGAACCAACATAATTCCAATTTTCAATTTCATACATTTTGTCCTTTTATGAAAAAATAATGGAATGTGTTAAACGTTTAACTATTAATACCATGACGTAGAAAACATCTTCTCTACATCGTTCCATCGTGGTTAATATACACTGTGGAATTTTATTTTATTATTCTAGAAACATGATACCCCTGGTGTATTTTAAAATTCTATTTTGCTTGACAAATGGCACCACTGTTGCATTTTCGTCATCCAGATTTCCGATTTTTCCGGTAGATTGTCCTAAAATCTTCTTTCGTATTCATACAAACCTTGTCTTGAAAATTACGAACATGACGAAAAAAAATTAGCCAAATCGTTTGAGCCGTTCACATGCAGCATTTAGTTTTAATTTTTATCAAATTATAAATTTATTATATAAATTAAAACAGTAGTAGTATAATAAGTAGTGAGCACAAATAGTGGCATAGTGCTTCACCTTTGAAGGGGCGAAGGCGCCGAAGGGGCTAGAGTTCAGTCTAATAAATCATATTGCCTCAAACATAAAAAAGAATGCTTTTATTTTATCAGTGTAAAAAACTAAACTATAAATATTTAATACTATATTGTGTATACTAATGTATAATAATGGAATTCTCTTCCTTCAGCATTTTACAATCAATAAACTATACATATAATAAAATTAACTAAACACCAGCTTTTTGAAGAATACAATTATTTATCATGATAATCAACTCTACCGCCATTTTTATAACTTCTCATAGCTAATATGTTCACAAGTTTTTGACAACCGTCTTCTACTTTCACAATATATCGTTGGTTCTGTCGACTCGTAAGTTGTTCGCGTACTGATTCGTCTTTTGAATTCAAACTAATATTTGTATACATCTCGGTCAACACAGGTCCTAAAAATAAGGCGAAAATGATTTAATTTACTAAGAAATAAAATAATTTTTTAGATCAATTTTTTTACCAGGGGAATAGCTAAGAATGTTCAATGTAGGATTTTCTACAGCCAATACTCTGAAGTACATTTCTCTACTAGCTTTCCCAACAGAATAATATCCAACTGATTTAAATGGTTCAATCCCAAATAATGAAGTAATATTGACAATACATCTTTCAGCTGTATCTGAATTGAACTTGGATAAAAATACACTTGTTAAACAAGTTACTGAATATAAATTCAACAACATATATCTAGAAAATAAAAATATATTTTTAGTTCGATAATTTTATAATCAAAAAATGCATGTAATAAGTAGGTATTCGTGTTTGTTAAATGTCCTAATTAAGTCGAACACACACAAATAATTACTATATAAATTCCCTAAAAATGTATCGATTTTATTATTTAACTGATATAAAAAAAAAATGAATAATTACTTGTTCCATTCGTCGGGATCATTCATGTCAGCTGCAAGATGATCCAGATTACCAACTGACCCAGCATTATGAATTAATAAAAATAATTCGAACTTCGTCGAATCGATAGATTCAAACATTTTTTCAAACATTGTTACGTTGAAATTAGATAAATCCATGCTATAATACTATAATACCAATACAATGTTGAATTAAATAGGTGATAAAAAATATACCAATTTGTACTATATCTATATGCCTACCTCTACCAAAATGTCACTATTTTCTTTGTTCACCATTTCTTTGGTTTTTTCCAGACCATTTGTATCTCTAGCCATGAGAACAATGGTTGACTCTGGGACCAACACTTTACCAATTTCTACAGCCAAACACTGTCCTATTCCTCTGCTAGCGCCAGTCAGAATGACGCAAGTACGACGGCTCCAAAACTCATTCATCTTGAGTATTTTGTTCAATTAGTCGTTGGGTTTCAGTTGTAGTCCGTAGACAAAGGCTGTTCTGTATTGATTCAAGTAAAAAGACCTGAAGGTTAAGTGACTACCTGCTTGTTTTCAGACACTACAATATTATCTGAACCCACCAAATATTCTATGCATGACTTTTGACCTTAAAATAATACATCGACAATTTGGCGGCATTTTGCTCCACAGCCAATCGACTCAGTACGAATACATTTGGGTCAGATCGTTTAGTAGAGAAGTCTGTTCCCGAAACCTCTAGTTGTTCAAACACCATAGGTTAAAAAAAAAAAAGTAGGAATAAAAACAGTATTGTTATAATAAGTATAGTGTAGTTCAGAAATCAGTCATTGGGATCGCTGCGTACGCTGAACGACTTTTTCGGGCAAATCGGTCATCTATTTATATGTTTTGTACAATTAGACTGTTCTTCTGTTCTTCAGCCTTTTCAGTTTAATATGCTCGTTGATGGTATCAATATCAAATGATCAGTTTATATTGTAATCTGATGCAATGATTACAATACACATAGATAACACTTATTTGTATTTTACAATAACCAACTCCGCCAGCAAATCGCCGAGAGTGGGGTTACCGATGGTAGAGTCGGATGGAGTAGTTTGAATCATATTTGACCTGCAGCTTGTTAGGTCACTTGTTCATAATCAGTTAAGTTAAGACAACGATTGCAGGTATACCGGTTCCCCTTTGGTTTCTGATAAGGTGGCCATGAAATGACACGTGCCAATCACAATTATTAAATCCAGCGCGAAGCTAAGTAAAAAAATAAAAGCGGAGCTTTATAAATTCATAATATACTAGGCATACAACTGATGTATAAAATAACATGAATTTTTGGCCCCTTCCGTTATGTTTCACACAAGCCTGCAGGGTTGGCAAAAACCCGGGCTTCAAACCCAACCGCATTGGGTTTTATCTAGTTTTTTCAAATAAAACAAAAAAAAAAAATCCAAAAACCTATTTGGCTTTATTGTAAAAGTAATAATGGGAGGTTTTATAGTGTTTTTCATAAAAAAACGTAGCCACAAAAATAAGAATTTCTTTCATGTATTCGCTGCACTGTTTTTTATTATTTTATTTATATCTCTATACCGGCCCCGCCGAAACCTATATCATAATATGTATTAAATATTGACATCTCCACCTTTTCCCAATAACCGATCGTGAATTGTTAGTATTGTTATTGATGTTATTAAGCTTTTTGTTTTGTAGGTACTTTTGTTGTTAGTTGTTATATTTTCATTTAACTGTCCATTTATAAATCGTGCTACCAATCCTTGGCAGTGGTCGTAAAGCCTTGTGGCGTTTGAACCTATATTTATTGATGGTGTTAATAGTTAAAACACATTTAAATAATAACCACAGTCCACAAGTCAAAACAAATTAGAGTGAATTTCTATTTTATTCAGAAAAGCAGCCCGGGATTTTCGGGCTGTGGTTTTTCGTGCCAAACCTGGTTTATGTTCCCAAATGCATGCAGAACTAATATTTAAAGCTTCAGGGGAAAATTATTATAACTAGGTATCCGTGACTTATGGTATCGACGGCGTTGTCGGAACTTTTTAAAAATGAATCCGGCAAAATAACTTCGTAAGCTGTTTGAACCCTTTTTCTATCAGGAGAGCTAAGTTTAGATCTACGCACGATTAAAGGCACGGGCTAAGATACCTTATGCCCATGAAAAGATTTAAGATATACCTAGTAAAAATGTACTGGTTGCTCATCGGTACAAAATCTGACAAAAGGGCCAAAAAGCTATTACTAGGTAGCCTAGAAATAAGGTGTAGCGCTCCAAGCGGGAACAGTAAACACTAGTACTGGACCAATTATAGATATTATATAGGTGTCTTAATTAGTTATAAATGTTGACAGAATATATTGTCCTATGGTTGACATATGATGATTTTGCATATTAACTTTGTGAGTCAATTTGAAAGCCGTTTATTATAGGGCTATATGAAACCTGTATGCATATTCTTAAATCGTATTTGCTCATGCCAAATACCTTTTCCCGCGTCACGACTAATCGGGGAGGGCTATTTTTTTCTTACTGGTTGTGTAACCAGAATATCTTTAATTGTAGTGATGCAGCCAACTAATGCCTCAATTCCGGCGATGGAAATTACACATGTGAAACATCACTATTTTACACACCAGGGTATCAAATATAGTATATTTTATCAGTACATCTTTATTATTATTTACTATTTGATAATTGATAGATATTTTGCGGTCAAATAATTAAGGCGTAGTACGTGGAAGCGATCTATCATTATTACACCCCATATTTTAGATTGTGAGCGGAACGATGAATGTAATGATTATACAATGAAGCGCACATTTTTTACTGTCCGTTGCCATCTTTTGGTAAAAATGCTTAGATTTTCTACTTGAGCATCTTTTCTAGTAGTAAAGTGAATCTAGTTGGTACATTGGTGAGTCAAAATTCAAAAGTAAATAATTTCCCAAATTTCTCAAAATCATCAGGGAAAACTGAGATTTTTTCGTAGCTAGTTTTCTCGAGCAATGAACACATTCCTAAAGGATTAATTCAAACATGCCTACCACAGAAATTTAAAAATTAATCAATATAATACAACTATATTTAAAAATATGTTCTTACAAGTCTTGTGATTTCACGAAAGTGGAAAAGCGTAAATCTGAAAGCCGTGTTTGAGTGTCTGGCAAATCTGTTGTCCCCAGTGTAAGACGATACAAAACTTAGCAATCCACCTACAGCGGGGATATATAGTGCCATATGCCGTAAAATTACGTGTGTATTTCCGTAAGTAAAAAGAGTGCGTAACACCCTGATGTACATTAAGTGTCTAGAAGTCTCACTGGCCACTACAATGGATGCATTCAATTTTAATTTGTTAGGTCTGTCAGTCTATAATTTTACTAAGTAGTTACATTTTATATTATTGTGATTAAAGAAATTAATTTTACTATTATTCATTAGTACTAGTGTACTACAGTAGGTTAAATTCATTTTTGTTGAAAAAATTGCATTTGAAAAATATAATCATTGTGTGTACATAATAATATATTTTAAAAGATTCAAAAACCCAGGAATAATATTTTTAAATTATAACAAAACAGCTAAAATTATTAATACTAATTAAAATATACAATTTATCCAAATTTGAACATTAAAAAAAAAAAATCATACTTATGGATTTTTAATATTTTTCAACTACTGTTGTAACAACTAACAATATATCAGGAAACTCGGTTTAAACTTTCAAACTTTTTACCCAGCGAAAAAAACTAAACAAATGTCAAATTTTAAATTACTATAAACAGCAAAAACATGTCAAATTATTTTGAAAATTTTATTTTGTAGTTAATTTTGATTGTCAGTAATCTCTATTAAATTATATCGATAGCATATTACTATACAAACACAATAGGTATATTATATATTAAGTTAATGTATAAAAACTATAAAGTATAGTTATTCCCTTTACCCATCGGCTCCGGAATAATATGTCTATGTGATAAAAACAATTTATATTATTTTATTTTAAATTTTAACTAACACAATATTTTAGTTACTAATATAATATTAAAAAGTTTGTTAATTGATTTTTTTCCAACTTTAACATTAACGTAATAACAAGAATTAAAAGAAAATATCAAAATTAAATTATTCATCAAATAACAGTTAATGTTTTATAATAGGTATGTTAAATAAAAAAAAGATGTATTTTTTGGGATGCACAAGTATATAAATATATTTAATTCTATTTGTTAACATTGTCTTTAATCCATTGGTTTACCCAAGCACCTATTTGAGTAATATTGCGTTCCATATCTGCATAGGTTTCATTGCGTAACTCGTTTACAATGTTGTTGTCATATGATTCCATAGCTTCTTCAAGTAAAGTTTGGAATATTTCACATTCTACATTGTTTTGAAGCTTTTTAGTTGAATATCCTCTAAAATAAAGTAAATGATAGAATAAATTTTTTGTTTTTTTTTATCTATATTAGAGTAAAATAACAAACTGTGTCAGAGTTGTTTTGTCCGACACCTTATACATAATATTTACTAAATCCAACAAGAAAACACACCGTTCTGCTCATCACCATATAAACAACAATGTGCGATCAAGATCAGTTCCACTATAGCAAAAGCAGATGAGCAGAAGTACTGATTTCCATCAAGCTATGGCATGTTCCCTCACTGGACAGAGTATAGAAGTGTTTTCATTCATAATAGGCAGAAATATCAAATAAATTTTGAACCAAAATTATTAATCACAAATTTATAATTTTGTGACATATTCTTTTTTTTTCCAGTTTGAAATCGACGACGGCGCGGGAACTGCTTTCGCATTGCTTCCGCGGAATATACAATTTCATCTAAGCTTAAAAAAAGATACCACGTAGCTTTTAAAGGTGTTCGATGAAGGCAATCGTATTGAAATAAACAGGTACTAAGAAAAACTAAAAAATTTGAATCATAAATATATTTGAATACTGATTTAAAGTGGCAAGTAGTACCATGGCGGCACACCATTTTGGTGTGAAAAATATCATTAAGTCAACATTTGTTATTTTGAAACCAAATTTATACTTAGTACATAAGATAATATTATACTCTCTGTTGTAAAATTGTATTTCTTTAAATATAGCTAATACAATACAACCCAAAAATAAGTTATTTAAGTATGAAAAACACGATCAAAAGATTTTCCCGACAACCTCTTTGAAGCTCTCAGTTCAACTTATGACAAAACCAATAAAATAATTACATTTCTAAAACAAATTGATATGTACAACCTAATTTAAGGACCTAATATATTATTTATTGTAACTAAAAACAAATTAATATGTACTAATATGTAACTAAGTTAAGGAACTATTGTTTTACTATATTATGTAACCAAATGCTCTCATTTTTTGTTACAAGCTAATTAGAAGTTGAAGCTGTACCACGAATAAAAAAAAAAAAAAATATATTAGTTAGTAATTTTTAATTTTTGTATTGATGAATATAAAACAATGCGACACAGAAAATATTGTCTTCTTTATCAAATATAAATTAGGTTTTCATTATCATTGGCTATAGATTAAGTTATTTTCTTTTAGCAAAAAGCCCTTAGATTTTCTTATATTTTCTAATATCTGTAATACTACTCTGCAAAAATTCCTACTTTCAATAACTATGGAGAGCATAGATCATCAAATAGTTGCTTTCTGGTATGATTTACTATATCAACGATAAATAATTAATAGAACTGTAACAAAGCAATGGAAATAGGTACTCCTAAATGGCTTACTTGAAAATATCCCAGATTTGGTTAAATAGTAAATATAGATGCTGAATGATTGCTTACAATTTATTACAAACCTTGAAATATTACTTAACTGCAGAGATAACCTAGCCTACCTAAAATAAAATTTGCATTCAATTTCAAATCTAAAGAACTACAAGATTAACTTTTTGGGGATTTTCTACCAACAAATATTAACTAAAGAAAAAGCCTAATATTATAAAACCAATATAATTTTTACAATTTGCTCATATCTCAGAATTTAAATTTTACAAAGCCTATGTTAATAACCTATTTTAGTCTATGTTACTAACCTTTTTTCAAGACGATCATACAATAATGTATTATTAGTTCTCAATACAAATACTACATCAAACCATCTTTCAGGAAAGAAATCACAACCATGGTAATCAATTATTTTACCTCCTTCTTCCATTCTCGATTCTAACTCGTCCAATACCTAAAGTTTTTAAAACAATTAGTTACATACAAATGAACAATACAATAAACACTCCATTAATACTTACTTTGTCTTCATTAAGTATATGGCATTCCAATTCTTCATCATATCCAGAATAACAATTACACTGCTTAGCTACTTGACCAACTTCAATCCATTCCATATCTAATCCACTTCGAATTAATTCTTCACACAGTTTTGATTTTCCTACACCGGGTGTACCTAAACAGAAAAAATATGCAAATAAATTAAATTTCAATGAAAATAACCAAATTATAATTATTTGAATCTGTTGAGTAATTTGGTTAATTTAGTACTAATAGTACCATCGTGTACAGAAATGTTAGACAGCCAAGGATCAGACATATTTTATTCTTCAGCACTACTTAAAACCTAACTGTAAATACATACCAGTAATTAGAATATTTGGTTTTCTTCTCATTTTTAAAAAACGATTTGGTACACAAACTAGTGTAAATGTGTAATAGTTGATAATTATTATTGTATTATTTAGTATTCACGCGTTCACGACACTGAAGTACCAAATAATATGATTAGAACAAATTTGCGATAAAGAGTTTGATTATAATAACAAACTATTATTATTTATTTATCATAAATAATATTACTTGAAGAAGAATTGTTTATTATTATTACGTATTTATTGTACCCAAAGTAGGTATTAAGTAACACGGTAACACTTTATAAGAAACACATAATTTATCATTCACATCTGAGAATATACCTAATCTATATAATACCATAAGACATAGAATAGAATTAGAATACAGATGAAATCTGTTCTGTCTTCTGTGATAATTAGGTTCGAAGCTCGAATGCTCGATGTGAAAGTAGATAATCTACAATTTGTAGATTTATCTACGTCGTTGTTCAATGATGATACTTATACCATGATTGATAAGAACAATGTGCAATGATAGAAGGAGGGAGAGGGTCAGTTCTTTTTCATGATAAGGCCTCAAAATCTATTAATTTTTCATCAAATATCAAAACGACCTTAATGGCTAATAAAAATTTAGGTACTTGAGGTACTTCTAATGATTCGAATAAAAAAATTTTTAAAGTTTTTGATTCTATAAAGAAGTTTACTTTGCATCGGTTGGAACACATATTTGATATTCTTAATGGTTTAAAAAAAAATTAACATAAAAAATTGATAACATTTTAAATGTTTATTCCCGTCAAGAAATTTCTAAAATATAAAAGTGCTCCGATCAATGCAAAGTACTCTTGTACACAGAGCTGTAAAGTATTTGAGTAAAAGTATTTGAATATTGGTATTCAAATACTTTTTTAAGTATTGAATACTTTATTTAAATACTTTTTTTATTTCTTGTATTTAAATAGTATTTAAATACCTTTTTATGGTATTGAATACTAATGTATTACTTGCTTACTGGTATGTTTAATTTTAACAGTAAAGTTAGTTTAAGTTAGTTTCTATACTAAGTTAATACCAAAATAATTTATCTTTCAGGCATTAATAAAAGATTTGGGGATTTATTACAAAATAAGTTTTTAATTATTGCATCAGTGAGTAATCCTTATTTTAAAGTGGCATGGATTAAAAATGATGTAAGAAAGCAAATGGCTATGGATGCATTTAGAAATGCTTGTTTACAAATATATGAAAAAGAGTGTGTTTCCAATACTCAAGAACCTAATATTGTAGAAAGTTATGATGAACCATCATTGGACTTTTTTACGTGGTCTTCTTCAAACAATATGAATGGTATAGATTCGGTAGATATTGAAATTAATCAATATTTTAGGACTTCGCCAACAAAAAACTTGGATTGTTTGCAATCACTTCCTATACTTAAAAAAGTACATATACATTTTTTTTGGTTCTTATGATAAATATGATAAATTTAATTAATTTTTTATTTCTGTTGACAGGTATTTATTAAATACAATACACCTCTCCCCAGCAGTGCTTCGGTTGAAAGGGTATTTAGTGTAGGAGGAGCTACGTTAACAAAAAAGAGAACATCCATTAGTGACAAGCATTTTGAACAAATAATGTTTTTAAAATGTAATAATCAATGCAATAATAAATAATAATAAAATGATGAATAAATTGTACATATTTTTTTTTTTTATAAGTATTTGAAAAGTATTTCAAATACATTTTTAAAGTATTTGAGTAATACTCAAATACGTTGGATAAATAAGTATTTGAATATTACTTTAAATACTTTTTTCAACAATATATTTTTTACTTACTCAAATACTTTTTAAAAGTATTCTTTACAGCTCTGCTTGTACATGCATTTCAATATCTTTACATATTTTCAAATCGGACCTTTGGAAGTACATACAGTTTTGTAAGTAGGTACATACAGGCTTACCCACGGTCTTAGATTATTAGCTATTTCGGGTCCATAATTGATTTTGAATATTTTGATAAATGATAAATGATTAAATTACATGTGCATGCGTGTACGCAATATCATTGATTAAATATACATATACACATGATATACATTTATCAATGGCAATATCATAGAACATGCTTTGTGGTAATATGTATGATGCTGATGATTGGCAAGTCTCACGAGAAGGGGTGGAAAGGAGGATTCCTCGGGTCTGGCATTTTTAAAAGGGTCCGGAAATTTGGGGGCTACTCAATTTTTTTAAACTAAAGGAAAAAAAAAGAATTTGATGAACACTGTGGAAAAAATTAACTCTTAAAAATGACATAACAATGTTAATGATAGGTGGTCAAAAATAGTGAAAACCCCAAGTTATTAGCTCTTAGCCCTTGGGCCGGGTTTCCTCTTTAAGGCCTTGGTGATTGGTGGGGACTGGGACACTGGGTAGTATACACTATTTTACACTAATGATAATTTCTACACACACAAAGACGCGAAGGGACTGCAGGGAAGAATTAATTGCCTAAGCACAACTCCTTAAAAATTACATGACGTATATTAAATCGTTGTTAGTGGTAACACGACAAGGTCTGATACATTGCTATTGATCACAGAATAGATGAAATTTTGTACTTTGAACCTATTGATCCAAGATGAAGATTTTATTCATGATTAAGTAAATTTACTTTATCATGATTTAATCTCGATCTTGTTTTGATCACTCAGATATTACGACGCTAAAGGTTTTTATAAAAAAAATTAACAATTCACTCACTTGTGGCGCTATCTACTAAATTATCACGTTAATCATGATATCCAATACCAATATTTTCTGTTATTTACTATTTCATATTAAAATTAATTTTAAACTCAACTATTTTAGCATTAGGTTTCAGTAATAAATATTGATTAAATAACAATATTAATACTTTATGGTTTATTATGAACTCGAAATAACTATTATTTTATTTTGTGGTAAGACTGCAATGTATTTTTTATTTAACTATTATTTCATGTCAAATTAATTTTAATTTTTCATTTATTACATTATCAATCTAACACCAGTATGAAATATTTACTAATTTTACAAAGAACAATAAAATTAAGGCAAACTGAAAGTTAAAGAGTTTTATATTTTTGTGCCAAACCAAATCAAATTACAAAAATAATTAAAAAGGTAGGTATGTAAATTAATAAAAATGTGTACAAAATACAAATTATTTTTTAATACTTTGGTTGATGGATCCATAATATAAGTAGTACACTTGTTATCATCTTGATATTTAATATATGTATTTGTTAGGGTAATACCATTTAGATATAATATATAACCTAACCTTGCTAATAACAAATTTAAGTTTTCTTCAAAATCAACAAAACAATTAATTGAAAATATAAACAAACTTTATTTGATATCTTAAATTCTTAAAGAAAGCCAGCATAATACATTTTTATTGTACCCTTTGATTTTAAGCAAATTAAACAAAAAAGTCGATAGGAACAATACTAGTTGTTCTATTTTTAGTTATTTCTAAGTTATAAGTATTTATTGGAGATACCTACTCCACAAATGCAACAGACCTGGGAACTCGTGTCGGTTATTGCAATGCATATTCATCCATCACCATGATAGTAAACAACAGTTTATAATCGATGCACCTATAAATTTGTTATACACTTATACCTACCAATAACCTATTATAATTTTGGAGCTTAGTTGGTTCACTAATCACGATAGTCTATTATTAACTATTTGATTTCTATTATATAAGTTACTTAATATTTAATGACAAGGGCACCTGCAGAAATATAAACCGGGTGAGGGGGAGTTAATAATCTCTGATAATACAACACAGACTTTTTTGTTGTTTTTACCAGTTATAAACATTATACTTATATATATATATAACTACAGTTTATAAAATTATTAATAATAACTAAAAAAAGCGGATGCCCAAGTATAATAATGATTGGTATCTTTTGTTTCTTTTTCAAACAAAATCTGAACAGGTGTCCAGAACCTAAATCCTTATTGACGATGGATGTGGACTTTTCCAAATAATTATTTTTTCTTTACCTATTTGTTTTTTGAATTTCATATAGTTGAATTTAATTGGTACAATTATTATAGATACAATAATGTAAACGATTTGAATCACAAACAACATAATTTTTTAATTTTTATTCTTTTTTAGGAAAACTTCAGTCCAAATCCCATTTGTTAATATATCTTATATTCCAATCAAATATGGTTGTACTTGTACATAATTTATGAATTGTTATTTGTTGAAGAACTGTAAATCTTGTACTTTGACGATGAGCTGTAATGTCTTATACATATTAGTATATACTAAGCTTTAATTTCCACAAATGACTTGATAACAAATAACAATACAATACTGTGGTCACTGGTCAGATGTATCGTAGATAACATTATTTTTATATTTTGTATAATATCGCCGGAAGGAAATATATAGGTATACTTCTTTATTTTTTAATCTTTGGCACAATGCTATACATTATTGTTGCTCGGTCAAGCACTTACTCAAGTTTAAATCTATACCTAATCGAATAACCAAAGCTTCGGGGGAAATCATTTTATTAGGTTTATACATAAAGTGTTATATGTTTTTTTTAAATTTATATATCATTTCAAATTCGAATTTTTTCTTCCATTAGTGGTTAACTTAATGAACATAATATGCATGATTCTTTTTATATACATTTCAAGTTCAAATGTTGATGATTAAATAGATCATAAATGCATTTTAAAATCTTTTTAGAGCATTCTATAAGTATAGAATATAATTATAAATTATTTTAAAAATCCACTGATCACTGATTCCTATCACTAATTAATTAACAAATCGCATATTGTGAAGTATTAAAAGTTGTTTTTTTAAATAGAGGAAAATATTTATTTTAATATGTCATGGCTACAATTTCTATTTCTATGGTACCAATTTATCGTTCATCGATAATTATCAATCAATACACTATGGTAAAATTTGTTATGTTTTAAAAAAAATATATTTTGAATTTTACAAACACGTTTAACAGTATATATAATTTACTGCACTGTACGATTTTTAATACTAACTAGGTAGGTATATACCTAATGTTAGTATAGTATCTAAGTATATACAAAACAATATTATCATTGTGTTCGATACCTATATAGTAGTTGTACATATAGCACAGTAACTGGAATAGTGGTATTGTAACTCGCGTTATCATCACGGACTAATAGACATTATATTATTATATCTCAGTTCGTGGTTGTTATACTATAATAAGTTATTTAAAGTATTTTTACGTTCATACAAATAAGTCGTAAATTATTTAGTTATAGGTAGTAAAAAATTTAAAAATGAAGTAGGTATCCACTGACAGTGTGAGTGTGATCGTGTAAAGACAGAAATATTTGTAATTTTTATATGGACAACAAATGTAGGTACTAATTTTTAAGAATAATTGGAATCTAAAAACCATTTTTTTAAAGTATGTTTTATGGAATTTAAGAACTTGGCGATTATGTGACTATTTCATTAAGGTTTATTTTTGGGTTTTACAAATGTATATACAAGATGCATTAATACTTAATTATGTGTAAATGAACAGTTAAATAATAAACTTAAAATGATAAGGTTGAAGATGCATACCAATACGAAGATGGAGGAATCTGTGAATTGCGTACATAAGTGACTGAGGCTTGAGTCTTCTTTACTTTGAATTTCGACTTTGGGAAAATGATGACGAGCGCATTGTCGAACTAAGAGTGATTACTGATGACAGAAGAGTAAGATTGGGATTGAGACGTATTTTGCATTTTTCTTAAAGCTAGCAATGAGATGCTTGTTAACATAGTATGTTCCATATATTTTTGAATCAAAATAAAAAGTTTCTATTTTGAATTTTTTGACAATTTTCAATTTTTAAATCATTTCTTTCACATATTAGAGGATTTTTATGGGTTTTAGGTCACTTTTAGTACTAAAATCTTTTAAAATTTAATTTTGAATTTTGTTTTTATATTCTTACTTAAAAAGTAACTTTGAAACGTTCTAACGAAGTTATTACCCAAATAATCGCATATTATTAATCGTAATTTTTTGAACGGATCTGCCTATGAAAAAATCGATTAAATGAGAATAATTATTTTTTTCAGAATAAAAGTCAACAAAATTGTACGTCCTGCAAAACTTTTTTTTTAATTTTATAAAAAATATTGTTTGTCTCAATACTTGGGTTATATAACAAATTTTAAATGCATTTTATAGGTGCATTATTTTGAATTTTTACGGCATGACATCTATGACATCCCAATCCCATCCATATTGATGAGATGCACAAATACGCAATTGTCTATAAGATTCGTTTCACCAGAATTTTATAGCACTTTTCGCACTGCTACAACACTGTAGTACTAAGCACTCAGAAACAATAGAGAAAAAACTGTTTGATCGAGAACCGTTGAGAATCGAATCGGGCGGCGCCGCGGTGAACTTAGAGAAAACAGTCGATATTCTCCTGTAAGACTGATCAAGGGAAAATCTCGTCGTTAAACCCACTCGTGAGTATCATAAACTATAAATAGATTGAGGTAGCCTCGACCACACTATACTACAGTGTATGAATTCGGGTGTTCACATTGTATATGGTAACGCTGTTACAGTATACTCGCAAGTGGGTAACTATGA